GCGGTGCGCCCACAATCACTCGCGCGGCCGCATTCTGGACTAGCTGAAGTCGCCGGATGCTCTTCAAGGGCAGCCCCATGTAGAGCACATTGCAGGTCTACCTGATTTGAAACTGTATTTTTTACCTTGTTTGAAACAGAGAGTGCTGCTTTGGAATATAAGGGCACAATCTGATATTTAAGTGGCATAGATGTTTGTGGTTCAACAAAGGCAATGTTAATGTGCCTTTTTATAATCATTTTGTTAGAGGTGCCATACTGAGAATATAGAATAGATACAAATCCAGGTGTGCCTGAAAATACCCTTATGGCTTTAAGAATAAGAATCATTTTATAGGCAAGTTAAGAAGCAAATACAAATAGCTAAGTTCTCAAAGAAATATTAGAATGTTGTCAATAGGAAAGTAAAATAAAGTCAATAAAATTGGTGGTAGGTTGATATAATTGTCAGATTTTTTTTTACTTACAGTTATTAAAAATATTTAAAGTAGATAAAAGAATGTATGGCTTTGAACATTGTAAGACTGAGTGTGAAACAGAATTATGTACAAATGATAAATATGTAATTGATAAAATATAATTGTATTTAAATTTTAAAAGAACAACAGGGGAAATAATGTATGATACAGTATGCTTAAAATTTTGGTGGGACAATATACAGGTGGGACAAATATACAGGGGCAACAATAGAAAAATATATGGTTGAAAAGATTGAAATTTGCACTATGCTATAATCTTAAAGATAATTTTTATAAAATTCTATACTGTTGGTATACTGTATGTCATCAGAGAAATTTTCTAGAATGTACAAAGTCACCCCAAGATTAGAAATGTGAACAATAAGAATATTTTATCATGTTTAGTAGATGTATAAAAAACTATAAAATTTTGGATTCAAATAGATATACTGATTCAGATGCTTTTAAAGATTAATATACAATTAAGACCATAAGCTTTTTCTTTTGAAATTGATGTGAAAAAAGTCATGAAACTTGGTTTTTAAAAACCATAACTGCAGCTAGATTGTTGTATGCACAAAGACAGAAAGTTTCAATATTACTCAAAATGGAGGAATGGTTGCTGAAGGTTGCCAAGATAGCTAAATTGACTTCTCTATGAGGGAAAATAATTTTATTGCTCACTGGAAACCTCTTATGACTTTTTTTCATAAAAAAGAAAAAAAAATGAGCTTATGATTTATGGTTTTGATGAGCAAACACAATACATTATAGAAAGACCATCATGTTATAACCATAGAGAAAGACATACATTTATAATTGTACTTATAACTGCTGTGAAGATTGGAAGCCACTTCTATGTACCTTTTTTCTTTCTTTTATATTTTTTTTACTTTTATGTTTCTTGCACGTTAAGCTTTCTCATAGATTTCTTTTCTTTTTCCTACTTTATATTGGTTTGCATTAGTTTTATTGACCTTTTTAATTTTATATATGCATGCATGTCTGTGCGCGAGAAACTAAAGTTAAATGCTTAAAGTTCTAGTGTATTTCAAGCTCTACTCCTACCACTGAAAACTTCTGAAGCAAAAAATACGAATCCTTAAATATTTTCAGTAAAGACTGAATGTGATAGAAATGGAGAGAATGGGGTGGGAAAGCCAACAGGTTTTATCACTGCGTGCATATACATGTTCATTTCGTTTCGTTTTGTTTTGTTAATTCTATTTTGATTCATGGAAATAATTTGCTTCAGTTACATTCTGAAACAGAAAATATTTCATCAAAAGTTTTTCAGTTTTTATATCCTCCTTTCCTTCTTTTTGGTGTCAACGGTAGCTTACCAATATCATCATCTGTCCTGTCTATTGGATCTTTTTCTAGACAGTCTCTAACAATATCTCTGCTCATCAAAGGATCAGAAGCCCTCTCAATATCTTCTTCATCGTCATCATCTTCAGAATCTACTGCTGTTTCTGGTAATCCACTCAGGTCCATGTCACCAGCTTCACTTTCTGTGGCCTAAAATGAGAATATAAAATTTAGAACAAAGGATTGTAGGATTTCTATGATGTTACCAAAACATTAAATTAATGGATTTGATGTATTACTTTTTATTCAGATGTTTGCGAAAACAAGTCCTAAAGTAAAAATCCCAACATGTTGTAAATATTAAGGACCAAACTTACTTCAGTGAAAGTTCAGAAGCAACAGTCATATTTGAAAAGATTATATTTCAATAAATCACTTTTATGTTTTGAGATATATTTATGTTGATAATTTTATTAAAGATATCTACAGCCCTCAAAGGTTGCTGTTGTTGTTGTTATTGTTGAAGTACAATGGGATATACGAGTATACTAGATCAGTGGTAGCACATGCAGCCGCAAATCCTCTCCTATCTCAACAAGGATCCCAGACATCACAACCTGCCACTACCTAGTATAGCTATACAGACACTAATTTTTCATTCTCAGCTTTATGGCCTGACAGCTGCTCATTCGTTCTGCCCAATGCTCCTTTTCTGGGATTCCTCAACCATTTTTTCAACCCATAACCAATGGCCAATTGACTCTGATTTTTCCATTTATAACTTCCCAGGCCACTTTCCTATTTTTTTTAAACAGCAGAAATTACTAAATACTGTAGAGCTATAAGAAAAATGGAAGTTTATTTTTTTCAATTTTATTAATTAAAAATATAAAAATAGAATTCAATTTAGGATTGCACTGGCTTTTTTAGACTGCCATCACACACTGTTGGCTCATATTTAATTGGTTGTCCATTAAGAATACATGATCCCTCTCTCAGTTGCTGCTATTAAGCCTGGTATCCATACATGTACTTTTGGTTTTTCTTGCCTAAGTGCAAGACTTTACTTTTCTCTACATTGAATTTCATTTCGTTACATAGGACCCAGTGTTCAAATCCGTCAAGATCCACCTGGATCTTGAGCCTAACATCTAGGGCAGTGTTAGCGGACCTATTCAGTACTGAATGCTGAAACAGGAGCGCACACGGGGAAGCACCGGAAACTGGAAGAGCAGTTCCCTGGCAGGCAGGCATCCGCCGGGAAGCTGAGCTTCCAGTTTCTGGTGTACGCGTATGAGCACAAAGACCAGCTGGCTGGTGTGAGTGTGCAGGTGAGAACCTGGAAGAGCAATGGGTGACGGCTGGCGTGTCTGGAATGATGGCTCTGTGTGCCACTTCCAGCTCGCATAGGTTTGCCATCATGGATCTCGGGTGTTGGCTATTTCTGCCAGCTTAGTACATCTGCAAATTTGGTTAATTCTCCTTCTATTCCCTCATCTAAGTTGTTTATGAAGATATTGAAAAGTACTGAGTCTAAGACAGAATCTTGTGGTAACACTGCTTATTTCCCTCTATATAGACGTAGTACCATTAAAGACTACTCATTGAGTATTGTTTGTCAGCCAATTACGAATCCATCTGGTGGTGAATACTATCTATTCCACTTTTTTCTAGCTTACCAAGAAGTAGGTTGTGGTCTACTTTGTCAAATGCATTGCTGACGTCTAAGTATATTATGTCTACAGTATTTCACTAGTCTACTAATTTCGTCATTATGTTGAAGAATGAAATAAGACTGATTTGGCATGATATACTTTTAACAAACCCATGCTGACTCTTAGTTATTGCTTTACTCGTGTCTAGGTGTTAGCAGATCTGTTTTTTATTATCTTTTCCAGTGTCCTCCCGGGTATTGATGTTAGGCTGGATTGGTCTGTAGTTTCCTGGGTCTGTTTCCCCCCCTTTTCTTTTTGAAGATGGGAACCACATCAGCTCTTTTCCAGTCCTCTGGTAGTTCCCCGGTGCTCCGCAATTTTTCTATCAGATCCTGGTGATTTGTATTCATCAAGATCAGACAGGTGTTCTCTTACCATTTTTTTTTTCTTATTTTAACTTTTATTTCTAGTCTATCTCTTACAGTTATGTTTTTGGTAGATTGGGCTATAATTTCTTTTTGCATGAAGACTGATTCAAAGAATGAGTTAAGCAGTTCTGTTTTCTCTCTGCTGCCTGTTACTTCCTTGCCATCTTCTCTCTTTAGTNCCTTGAAAGGAAGGGTGCATTTGCTGATTCTTATTTGTTGTTGAATCTTAGGAAAAAAAAATATAGATTCATTTTTTTTTGGACGTTGAAGAGATCAGCCTATTTTAAAATGCCTTGAAAGGAAGGGTGCATTTGCTGATTCTTATTTGTTGTTGAATCTTAGAAAAATAATAATTCTAGATTCATTTTTTTGGACGTTCAAGAGATCAGCCTATTTTAAACTGCCTTGAAAGGAAGGGTGCATTTGCTGATTCTTATTTGTTGTTGAATCTTAGAAAAATATATATTCTAGATTCTTTTTTGGGGGGGACGTTCAAGAGATCAGCCTATTTTAAAATGCCTTGCCTCCGACTTATGAAATAGCAATGCACAATTTAAAATCCACATTCTCATTTTCTTTTTTAACATATAGGGTCATTGCTGAGAAGTAGAAATGGACAAATGGAAAAGGCAGGGGGGGGGGGAAGGGACACATCGTATACTTTGGCATGGACCAAGACTACCACGTGTTACTTTTCCCCTTCATTGTTTAATGCACATAATTTACATAAATGTAAAAAAGAATGTTTGGGTGACATATTAATGAGACGTTGGCTGGGGCTATGAATGCACAACATCCTAACTAAATAGATAAAAAATTACACACGTCCAAAGCATGGATAAACATGCATTATGTTAGGAGGGGACAAATGATTTACTCTTTCCTGCGTGCAGACTTCCTCTTTTCCTCATTAAGTTCATGAGCAGCATCTCTCAGCTTCACCTCTGACCCAGGGAGACTGGCTGGGATTATATCCAGTTGCAAGCTTTTGCTCTGAATTAAGGAAGGGAAGATGACATCAAAATTAGTGAAGAGAAGGAGAAACCAACACAAAAAAAGAGGTTCTATCTAGACAGAAACTCTAGAAGCCAGATGAAGTCGTTCCATATCACTTTGAGGCAAAATAAAAATTAAACATTCAACACTCACCGATTTATTGGAATCCGAAGAAATCCCGAGAGCTTTCTCTAAAGAGGTCCTGTATTTTTCCATACGCAGAGAGAAGTCTCGGTATCGCTTGTCCACGGCTGTGACACATTTTTTAATCTCTGCTGCATGGGCATGCCCCTTTTCACAAAAGCCATCCGCTAGCTGTATCAACAACTTCACCCGCTCTTTGGTTTGCTATAGGATAGACGAAAGATGGGAAGGCAGTCAGAAAGAGTGGACATTCGGTGCCTCTAATGAATAACAGCCTTTTCACGCTATAAATAGAAGATAATATTCTGTTTCCATGCTAACGGCTTTTTGGTACTTGAACAGAATTATCAGGATCATTGTAACATTTTTTTACATTTCTAGCTTTTAGGGTTCTGCAAAATAAGGATAGCATCATGCCTTGATACTACTAGTGTGTCTGGGGATTGTCTAACCATCCAGAAAACACAAGTTTGGGGAAACATGCCTCATCATGTTAAAAACCCAATTTATAATACCACACGTCATTGATAAAGAACTCAAGAAGTTCCAGTCTTTATAGGAGCAGAGAGTTTGGTAACGTATATGGTATTAAAAGAGTAATGTTAACATTAACAGACCTATTGTCCCCTACAGCGTGGGTGTAAAAAGATTGTGTCACAGATTCTGTTGGGATGTATCCAGTGGTGGGATTCAAATAATTTAACAACCGGTTCTCTGCCCTAATGACCAGCTGGATAGGCGTGGCTTGGTGGTCATGTGACTGGGTGGTCATGGCCAACTCAACGTCACTCACGTTGATGGGCGCTTCATCTTAGCTGTTACTATGTAATAGGGTTAACTGGAAAAGCAGTTTCTGTAAGCGAGGACAATAAAGATTAGGCTAGAAACANCTGCAGAACTGCAGTCAGCTGAAGTAGCCTGCCTTGCTGCATTTAACCACTGCGCCACCTCGGCTCCTCTTTTAAGGTGCTTGCAGATTCAAAAGATTAGCTAGTGACATCATCGTTGCCCAGGGGATGCCCATGGTGGCTCACCCCACCATGCTGCAGCACTCGAACATGAGCTTGCTAACATCCAACCCAACCCAGTGTCCTAACCACATGTAACTCCCTTAGTTACACATCTGTTTAAGTGTTTATTACACAGAGGAGGACTTCAGTGCATTTACTGAAAATAGGATGGAGCTTGGGATCAGCTGGATGAATTATGAGAACTATCGCAAGCAACTTTTTGGGTAGGTATTAAGTGACATGATTTTGCCTGCAGAAGCCATAGGTCCTGTTAAAATGTCTTGGGGAAACAAGATTGGCAAATGTGCAACATGCTTCTGCTTTCTTCTGGCACATTCTTAAAGCAGATACAACTTGTTTTTCAGATTAGCTTTCCACCTGCAGGTTCTGGTTGGTGCTCTTCTGAGCAAATATGCTTGTCTATAATATATGTAGTCAAATACTGTTGTTCACATGAAATTCCCGATTCCACAAATGCATTTTAAGAACAGTCCTTTTCTTGGACTGAAGGCCCCATTCCACAGAGCAATAAAATAATAGTGATGCTACTTTAATTTTTATTGAAATCCTCCTCACTCTTCCACTTACTATAATTCCAGCGTTTCGGAGGTTGCTGCAATTATTATTATACAAACTTGCTCAATTTCGTGAGTGTTCCATGACAGGTGAAAGATGCTGAATGTCAGGTGGGGGAAAAAAAATTCATTGCCTGATTAAAAATTTCAGGGTAACTCTTTAATAATGAGCACATCTGAACATAGATCTTTCACGAAGAGCCATATTTCACATCATGGGTATTTCAGGAGCTAGATACTGACTGTAAACTCTCCTCTGATTAAAAGAGCAAGTACATCAGATTTTACCATCCCCCCCATCCCCAGCCCTGTTATATCTTGCATAGCAATACATCAATGTTCAAACATTCAGCAGAACATTAGCATGCTCCTATTAGTATGCTCCTATTGCTACATGCACATAAGATCATAGTGCACTAGGGCTGATAGTGTTACCCGGGAGTTGCAGAAGTTACAAGGGCACATCAGTTTGTAGCTAGGCTTCCCTTGTCAATGAATGTTGGGAGCAAGGTAAATAAACCCAAGCCAGAACCAGAAAACATGGTTTCTAGGGCTATACAGACTTCCAGAGTTTGCTTGTAAACCTTCACAATGATAAAAGATATATGTCCCTTATAATTGGCTTGATGATTATTTATCCGTGGATGCTAAACAAGAATCAAATTTAAGTGGTAGATGTAAGTGGTCCCAGAGGATCTGGGTGCTCCATCACTGGAGGTTTTAAAGAAGTGATTGGACAACCATTTGTCCAGAATTGGATAGGGTCTCTTACTTACAGTGCATTCAGAAAGTATTCAGACCCTCTTCATGTTGTGGCCCAGAAGAAGCCGTTGGAACTGCCACCAGACTCCGACAGCGAGGGGCCCTATGAGTCAGCTCTGGAGGATGTGGAGGACCCTGGACAGGGTTCTGACTCCGAGCAGGGCACAGAGAGGCTGGTTGGCC